AAAGAACTACAAAGAAACTTGGAACTTTATCTACAATGATGTTGGAAGCTAGGCTTTTGTTACAAAAGAAAGGAGACCAAATATGGAATAAAAGAAAACAGCAAAGAACCTGCATTGCCCAATTCAATTGGAATTACTCTTAGGAGCTTATTTGAAAAAAGATCTTCTTGGTTCTCTCCACTGCAAGGGATGATCTGCAACAGCAAGAATTAGCAATGAGTGAAAACAGAATTTGGTTTTAAAATATTCCTCTACTATATTGCCAATATTAGGATCCTATAGGAAATAAAAAGCAAACAAACAAACAAAAACCCAGCTGATCCCAGTGTGAAACAAGAAAAATATCAGCTAAGTCTTACTATTGTAGCTTAAGGAAATACTCAAACACTAGTCATGCTCAAATATCACAGAAGACAGCCATTGGTCAAACATGTAATTCAGTATCAAAAAACTTAATTTGATGGCCAACACTAAATGAACTAAATGTAGTTTTGGAGAGTTTTGTTCCATTATGCTTTGCTGGACATTTTTTTAAAAAACCTTACAGATGTTTTGCTTATATGTTATGTTTCTGATTTTGTGTTTTTATGGGATTTCTGTGTGTCTGAGTGTTTCTTGTGCTTTTTCTTCAGCTTTTTTTTTCTGTTTGTTTATTTTGTCCTATTCTGGATTGTCATTTGTTTTTTAGTTGCCTGTTTATCTCCTAATGCAAGAAAGACTGGAGATTTGGATGGGTGGGAAGGTGAGGATGATCTAAGAGGAGTTGGAGGAGAAACTATGATCAGAATATATTACATGAAAAAATCTATTTTCAGGAAAATTTTGAATTATAAATAAATTAAAAAAAAAAAAACAACAGTTTGGGATTGGAAAGAATGTTTAGCAGTTCAGGGCTCTTGCTGTTCTTACAGAGGACAGAATTTGGTCCCCAGCACCTACACAGGGCCAGTCACAGAATTCTACAATTTCTCTAGCTCTACCAAATCTGACACCCTCTCTGGCTTCCACAGGTTTGTACACACATGTACACACACACACACACACACACACACACACACACACACAAGCATACTCACACAGACACATAAACAAATAAATCTTTAAAAAAACAAAGCCAGGCAGTGGTGGCACATGCCTTTGATCCCAACACTTGGGAGGCAGAGGCAGGCGGATCTTTGAGAGTTCCAGGCCAGCCTGGTCTACAAAGGAAGTTCCAGGGCAGCTAGGACTGTTAAACAGAGAAACCCTGTCTTGGGGAAAAACAAAAAACCAACAAACAAAAAAACCCAAACCAACTTGATTTTAAGGAGCAAAAATTAAAGACAAATATAATTACATATAGAAAAGAATTTTAAGCAACAAATATATACAAAATGCTTTTTGCCTCTAATTATACTCTTTGTAGCCACCAATATAATAACTGATACAAGTAAAAATACTCACCTGATGTCAAAAACAATGAGTAAAACATTGTTGAGGTATTTGTAGGGTCTCAATGTAACATCTATAGTAAAGAATCTTTATAATGTATCTTGTTGTCAGTGGTGTTACTCAAGGTAGGACAAGCACAATGTGCTGTATCCATTACTTAGGTAATATATGCTAAGAATTTTTATCTTCCGGCTAATCATACAGAAACAATCAGATAAATTCACAATTAACTCAGCCTTCAAGAGGAAAGGAGGCCTGCCATGAAAAAGCATACAAACTCACAAACAAGTAGGGACATAATACTAGATAAAAAGACAATAGCTACAACCACCATGACTGGATCTTAGATGATAAAAGTAAAGCAAAAAATATAAAACAGAGTTTGGGAACAAATGGAGAAATTTAAATAAAAGCTATATACTATTCAGTTACTATTAGTATTCCGAAGCACGGCAATACGGTTATAAGATAACTTATTTTAGGAGACAAATGTCAAAATATTAAGGAATGAAATCCAAAATATTTGCTATTTACTGTCAAATGATTCATAAAATATGGAGCAAATATTGCAAGATGTTAACAGGCAAATACAGATGAAGTACATGAGTACTAATTTACATGCAGATTTGTAAATTTTAAAATAAAAGCTTTTCAGGGACAGGAATCTAAGTTCAAAGATCAGAACCTTGGAGGCTTTTTGATTTGTTCTAGTGGAATTATTTTTCCTAGCTTTGGTATTATTCCTCAGCACTCTAATTCTATTCTAGCACTGAACAAACATGTTAATTGCCAGTTTGTAACTTTCTCCAGAAGCCACTTGGAACTGGAATTAATTCTTTATCTGGTACCTACTAGGTATTGGGTGTTTGTTGTATGATTGAGATGAGTGATATGATGAAAACAAATAAGCCATAATTGAAACCCATTTATTGTCCGTATCACATTGTACCTCAAATTTAATCAAGAAGGAACCCTATTAAATGACCTTACATAACCTGTACCATTATAATGGATGTCCACATAGCACTTAATTCAAAATTTTCTTTGTAAAGCATTTCATTTTCAACTCAAGAAAATTCAGCATACCTGCTCTGACTCTTTAGTGTCCTTGGAATTGGAGGTCTGGTTTTCTCCAATGACTCCAGGCTGCTCATTTTCCCACGGTAATTTGTTTTTCCCTTTTCCAGCACTTAATACCCTTCGGGTACAGATCGTTGGACTGTAGGAGCCATACAGCTGCATGCTGTCCCTCGTGTGGTCACCACAGTAACAGTGTGCACTCTGAGTTCTGTTACCAGACATAAGCCAGTCTGTATCTGCACCATGTGCCAAATGGCTTGACCTCCCCTGGGCAGAAGATGGCATGAGTATTGCATACTCCACAAACCCCTGTTCTGTTAGCCGTGGGAGAGTTTTTCTGGCCAATCTGGCCTGCACTGCATTCATCACACCATCCCCATTATCTTGTAATTCAACAGTATCTACAGCTTTAAAAAGGACATTGGTTTTACCTGAGCCCATGGATGAAGCCAAGACAGCAAAGGCTTCCAGAGCTGCCTGGCGTACCCTGCGTTTGCTATCTACCAGAGCTGGAGCAAGATCAAAAGACAGTTTGGCTAAGTCGAAATCCTCACTGGGATAGGTCAGGAGGGAACAGATGCAAATGTTCACTACTTCCTCTCTTACTCTGGAATGCTTATGCTTAAGATTTTCCAGGAGCAAACAGAGCACCTGCTGAGGACCTGCTTCCTTCATCAGCTTTAGAAAGATTTTCATGTATTCCTGCTTGATCACCAACTTGTTGTCGGCCAGCACTTTCACAGAAGCGGCTATAACTGGTCCCAAGTACTGCTGTACCTGCTCTCCCAGGCGAATGACCAGTAAATGCAGCACTTGAAGCGTGCCATGGACCACTTTGAAATTGGAATCGTCTAACAAATTATACAGTAAGCTAATGAAACCAACAAGACTAGAATGAGGGGTAGAGCTTGGGTTAAATTTTCCCAGCAACTGTTTTAGTTCTTCGACAGCCTGAGTCCTGTTCTTATAGTCTTCCTGATCCAGCAACCTTGCATGCAGCTCCTGAGGAATAATCCCAAATTTAAGATTGCTGTTGGAAAGAGTCACTACACAAGGGGCAGGGTCTTCAGAAAACCCAGAGGCTTCAAGCTCCAAATAATAAGGAACCTGATTCCCAAACTGGGACTCCAGGCGGCGATTGTAGTGCCTCCTCAAAGCAGAGGGCAGACGAGAGATGTAGGACTGAAACCTCTCCTGACCAAGTCGTTCTCCAATTTGTTGAAGCGTGGAGAACGCTGCCTCAGATTCTTCTTCCATCTCTTGATCGCCAAGCTTTCGGGCCAGGGCGATGATGACTTCCGTGAGATCCAAGCCCAGCAACAAATCCTCGGGAGTGAGCAAGATGGGGAGCAAGAGCGCAGTGGAAGCTCTAAGCCGGGCATCTGGACTTTCCAGGCCTTGTATAAGCGTCCTCAGTACCTGCCCAGAACTTCGCCTCAGACAAATATGCAGGATCTGCAGCGCATCCTTGCGGAGGGCTGGATTGTCTTCTCGTAACGAGACGACTAGCTGAGGCAAAAGCGCTAAACTAAAGGCCTCTTCCAGCTGCACGGCCTCCCCCTGGCCCCGAAGGACGTCCGACAGCAGCTGCAAGCAGAGTCTCTTCTCATCACTGCCGCCCTCCACCAGCACTCGGCCCAGCGCCCGGTACAAGGCTTCCTTGCGGCGGGGAAAGCCAAGCCGGCCGCCCCGCCGCGGCAAGGCAGCCTGCAAAGCCTGGAACGCCTCGGACGGATCCGGGGCGGCGCGCAGGAGTTGAAGGAGCCGAGTCTCCTCCTCGTCTCCCCCCGACAGCCCACTCCCAGCCCCGGACCAGCTACTCGAGACGGCCTCGGCCGGCAGCAGGAGGGTCGAGGTCAGGGGCGACGGCGTGGAGGGGCAGGAGCCGTGATCCCCGGCCGCCCCACGGCAGTAGTAGTTTTTCTCGCCTCTCATCGTGCCCCCGGCTCGGCGACCATCAGTCCCTGGGGCGGAAGGACGACCGCGGCTCGGGGGGCGACAGGGACCGAGGGTGGCAAGGGGCGGCGGCAGGAGCAGCTCGGAAGGCGCGGCCGCCATGGAGGGTCGTCGGGGAGCGACGGCTGGAGGGAACCATCGCCGTCCTGGGAGGGCTGGATGAGGCCCAGCCTTCCAGCGCCTTCTCCGGGGCCCGAGGTGCAGAGGACGGGGAAGGAACGGCTCGGGTCAGCTGCCGGGCCGCTCGGGCCTTCAACTCCCGGAGCCAGCCTCCGGCAAAATGGCCCCCGCCCGAGCCCGGGACCCCACGGCCGCCACCCGGCGTAACCAGGGCCACCACGTGACCAAACCGAGCGCTTCCATGGTGATGCACCCAGCTCGGTTCCCCTTGACCCGGAAACGAACATCCCGAGATGCATGCTGGGTCATGTAGTCCACGTAGGGAGTTGTGCCCAAGGCAGAAGGCTCCTGGAAGAGGAAGTTGGGGCTGTTGGAACGCAGCCCGAGCGGTGAGGCAGGGGAGGGGTCAAGACCTTGAACGGAAATGACGCGTCCCTGCTCGGGGCGGAAGTTTCCCGCCCCACCCGTAAGAGTTGAGGTTTGAGCAGCGCAAGTGAGGTTCTTGTCCGGGTTCCAGTTTTTCCGTGGCTCCTCCTCCTCCTGTCGTTGCAGGTGTTATTCCTGGGACTCAGGTATTTTCCGTTCTGCTATTATCCAATGGTGCAGGCTTTGGCCGAGTGTTGCCCGGTTGCACATGAGCCAGAGTAAGAGGTAAATGTCTGTACCGGAGCAGGCACACAGGCGACATGTTCTGCAGGGCTGCTTGCCATTGTAAACGTTCTACTTCTCTACCATCCTGAGTGAGATTCTTTCTTCTAGCTGACTGCTCATCAGTACAGGAGAACCCAACCAAAGTCAGTCTTAACAGACTGAGTACTTTTATTTTTTCTTCTTCCTTCTTCCTCTTCCTCTTCTTCTTCCTCTTCTTCTTCTTCTTCTTCTTCTTCTTCTTCTCCTCCTTCTTTTTAAAATTATTATTATTCCTACTCTTTGGGGACCTTCCTTGTCCCGCCTTCCTCTTCCATGCTCCCTTTTCCTCTCCTCGATTGCTGGCTGTGGAGTGTTAAAGGTTTCTGTCACTTTTCATTGTCCGCATCACTAAATTTTCTTAAAGATGTGCAGAATCTGTGCTTGCCCGGGTATAGCTAACCGCTTTGCATTAGACGAAGTGCTTAAGATCTTTCTAACGCAGCTGCTCTGTGGGACTCAGCCCTTTCTCCCCACCTGTACTTCTCCAGTCTCCCAGTAGGATCCTCCAGCGTCTCTGCAGTCTTTCAGTCTCCTGGAGACGGAGATCGCTAGACAATTTCAGTGGTGGTGCAAGTTCTTGGCATCACCATCCTAAGAGAATTCTGCCCAGAGGGTTTACGGTTGATAGACATTATTTTAAGCTAACTGAGAATTTGATGGCTGGTGGGTGTTTTCCTCTTTGTAAATGAAACTGTAAGTAGAATTGAGAGTATCTCCTGTAAGGTCAAATGCTTTGGGTATGAAAGAGCAACTTTTGTTTCTGTATTTGAAACATAATTGCTATTTGTAGCCCAAGTTGGCCTTGAACTAACTCTTTTTTCTTTTTCAAGACTGGGTTTCTCTGTGTAACCTGTCATGGCCTTGTACTCTTGATTCTCCTGTCTTGAATGTTGAGATTACAAGTGTGCACTGCCAATCCAGGTTTAAAGACAAAATTTTTTTGGGGGGGCGGGGCAGACTTTTTAAAGAAATAATACATCTGGGCAGAGGTGGCACACGCCTTTAATCCCAGCACTCGGGAGGCAGAGGCAGGCAGATCTCAGTGAGTTTAAGGCCAGCCTGGTCTACTACTAATCGAGTTCCAGGACAGCCAAAGCTGTTCCACAGAGAATACCTGTCTCGAAAACACCCCCAAAAAATTACTTTTCAGTGACCTAGTGAGAAAAGACTGAAGACTGAGTTATAATTTGAAGTTCCAAAGCAAGTATTTCTGCCCAAAGCAGTACCAAGTGGGATATCTCTTGAAATCCTTTTTTTTTTTTCCTTCTTTGAGACAGGGTTTCCCTGTGTAGCCCTGGCTGTCCTGGAACTAGCTCTGTAGATCAGGCTGGCCTCGAACTCAGAGATCCACCTGCCTCTGCCTCCAGAGTGCTGGGGTTAAAGGTGTGAGCCACCATACCCCACTATATTACTTTTTGAAATCTTGGAATAATTGAGTCACATGTGCCAAAGTGCTTTATAACAATAAATTGATACTCCTGATGATGCAAGTTGAAATTTTATGGCACAATTAAATATCATAGAGTTTCTTTCTGTTTTCTTTTTTTTTTTTGAAAAAGAGTAGTCATATAGTCATACAACAACGAGGCTGTATGACCATGTCGCCTGTGCGTTGGTTTAAAGCCTAGGTAGTTCCCTCATTAGCTTCTATTTTGTGTTTGTTTGCTGCTGTTTTATTTTCTTTCACTGTGCTGGACATCGAACCCAGGGCTCTGCTTATGCTAGGGAAATGCTCTGCCTCTGAGCTACAGGCATGGCTTTCAGTGATCATTTTGATGTGTGAGTGGATCTACCTAAGTTTGGTTTAGCAAATGGTTTATTTTAGTAGAAAAACAGTAACAAAAGCACTGCTGTCCCCACCCCTTTTCTATTTTTAGAGGCAGAATAAGGATAGGAATGAAAACCAAGAGATGGATGGAACACCTGTCAGAAAGAGTGCCTGCCAGGTGGCTGGGGCTTGGTAGAGCACTCGCCTAGCATATACAAGGTTCTGGATTACATTCATAATACTACAAAAACAAAACAAAACAAAACCCACGGGGCTTGGGACTTGCTAGATTCCCATTTCCAACCTAAAATGTTTAAGTGTATTCTTCTATTCATATGTGCTCAGACTTGAGGAACCCAGTCCACACAAAAAGAAACAGGAAACTGATGTATGCATTAGAATGTAAACATTAGAATGCCAGTTTATGTTGGAATAGAAGGTGACTCTTCCTGGTGATCAGAATTTTCAGATTGAAAACTCCAGCATACTCTTCATGTATCTAAGAACTTAGGAAGCCAAGTTACTAACCAGACTAAGGTTGTGTGGTAATCAGTATCAAAGAAAAGGAACTTAGAAAGTCTTGAATGATGTTTCATTATTAGTTATGGCAGAAATTTAAGAATGACCCTTTCCCTCTATAAAGAACACTACTCGAGGGGCCTGGTCCATAAATCAAGCAGTTGCTCTGTTCTTTTCCTTTGAGCAAAGCAAGATGAGTCCTTTGTCTCAGGTCCCTGTAGCTCACTGTGTATTACAGATTGTAATTTGTTTATGTCTCTTATGTTTTGTCTCCTTGAAGATTTGGAAAATACATTAGTTTGATTGTGGAGATTTAGGAAATGAGACTTCACTGTCAAATATCTTATTATCTCTTATGATCATCTTATAGAATATAAATCTTTTTGTTAATGTATATTTTATTTGTATCTATTAAAAGTACTTAAGTTTCTTTTAGTCTTATTTTTGAAGCCTAGGAGTCCTTTCTGTATTTACTAGAAAAGCATTCATATGTAATAATAGAGTTCGATAAAGAACAGAGTATTTTTTTTCCTTTTGGATTTTTGAGACAGGATTTCTCTGTATCCCTTGGCTATCCAGGAACTCATTTTGTAGACCAAGCTGGCATTAAACTCAGAGATCTGCCTGCCTCTGTCTCCCAAGTGCTGGGAATAAAGGCATGTGCCAAAGAACAGGGTTTTAATAAGATTATAGAATATGAATACACTTTTTGTTGTACTGTAAAAGTAAACTTCAGAAAATTGAAAGGAAGTAGTTAGGACTATACTGAAAATTACAAATTTGAGTAAAGCAAAATTTCAATGATTTCAAAATAATTTAAACTAAGGTAGCAGATTGCAGGAAGGTATGTGCTTCCTACCTTCATTCTTTGAGCTGTACTTAAAAAGAATAAACACAGTTGCTCTAGAAGATAAATGTTTTATTTCCAGAGTCAGAGATAATGAATTTGTTGGATGAATCACTGTAGCAGACTTTCTTGATCCGCCAGCCCCAAAATCATGACATGGAGACTTAATATTACTTATGAATGCTCAGCCTTAGCTTAGGATTGTCCCACCAGCTCTTATAACTTAATTTAATCTGTTTCTCTTCATCTATGTTTTTCTACGGGGCTTTTTACCTTTCTTTCATTCTGTATGTCCTTCTTTCCCGCTTCCTCTGTGTCTGTCTGTCTGGCAGCTGCCTGGCTGACTGGTCCTGGGCAGCTCCCTCTCTTCCTCATTCATTTTCTTTTTCTCTCTCTCTCTCTCTCTCTCTCTCTCTCTCTCTCTCTCTCTCTCTCGTCTAGATTCCTCCTCCTACTTATTCTCTTTACCTGCCAGCCCCGCCTGTCCATCTGCTGCCTAGCTGTTGACCAGCTTTTTTTTTAAAACAATCAGGTGCCTTAAGCAGGCGAGGTAAAACAAATGCAACACATCTTTACATAGTTAAACAAATATTCTATTCAACAACAAATCACTTTGTCCTTTGTGTGTTCTTACCCAAATTTTATAGTCATCCCTGAAATATTGGAAATGAAAATAAATTCTGTAAAGTATAAAAATATGTGTAATTTAAGAAGTTGTCATTAATAAGTACAATGGAAGTAAAAGGTTATTAACCAATAATTGTAGTCCATTTATTGTGTGCTGAGTACTGTGCTAACTACTTAGTAAATATTAGTTCATCTAATCCTCATAACAGTTAGAGGTTCTATATTCTTCATTTGTATTAGATATATTTTAAGGATCAGAAGAAGAAAGTAAAACTCAAATTAGTCAGTTTAGCTGTTTGCTTAGAGCTTTTGGAACTTTGGTGAAAAGGGTGCTAAAACTGTAGGATCAAATTTGATTTTTTTCTATAATTAATCTTTATATTTTTATGTATTTGATTATATATTTTTATCTTTTCTTTTTCTGTTTCTGTTCTGAATCTTATTAGTTAATTATGTCAGAGCTTTAATAAGGTTAAGGAATTATGAGCTTTTGTTGTTTTGAGACAGGGTCTCCCTATATAGCCCTTGTTTTCTGCTGCACGTTTCCAAATCCAAAACATAAGGATTTATGTTAGTAACACACAGTTAATTTTACTTTTGTTTCTCTAGATATAATGAAAATAATTTTCAGAGAAAATGCAATATTGCCGCTTATTCTATAGATATATACTGGTAAATATATATTATAATTGGTTGACTTTTACTGTAAGGAAAACTGAACAACGGGAAAAGAATTTAATGACAGAACAGTTATGATAAAAACCTGATTTGTTAAATCACTATATATATAAATTAAAGCAACTCTTGTTTCTTCTCTATTTACTTGCTGTGGCTGTGATCTATATTTATATGGCAGTTAATTGCCTCCCAGCTGATTTCACTTTGTAGCTTAGATGTAAATTAAGTAGATAAGTACTAAACTCTCAGCCTGTTCTTTATTATCTTGGTTTTAGAATCTAAAATTATGAAATCTCCTTTTAACATATTAAGGGTATTGGCACAGCATGAGAATTATTAAAAATGAACTACAATGCTGTTGTGTGGTGATATTGTGTTCCCCAATATATTGTGCACCATAATAAACTTATCTGGGGTCAGAGAACAGAACAGCCACTAGATAT